CAACGCTCAGTGACATAAACACTGAATTAACCTCCACACTCGATTAATTGTGTTAGTGGCACAATTATGAGTTCGTGGTAGAAAGCTGAGACAGTGGAAAAGTGACAAACTAGACACAAACAATTTTAAAGAGTGGAAGAATTTTAGGACTAGCTGACAATGCTAAAGTTAGCATCTGTTTTGTAGCTTCCTATTACGACATTTCATTTTAATTAAATACGTTCTGGACAGTTAAGGACCACATTTGATCATCTCTAGTTCAAAATACATACTGGAAAGATTAAACACTAGGATTTAGAAGACCTTTGTTGTGTGAACTCTGTATGGACTACAGCACTCTGTTTACTGAGTTTAATACTGCTAATTTCTAGAATGGCGCAGCTCGTGGTGGCAGTATGTTGAAGTAGCTCTGCCATTTTAGTTCTGATTTGTTCTTGTAGCAACTTTTGTTCATCACTGTTTTGGTTGAGTAGTTGAATGATAAATATTCCTCCTGGTTTTTGACGCTATGCAGCTGGAAGGATTTTTGTTTTTCCTCTATTAAGTCTGGACAGTTGTTATGATGCGCAATCATGGCAACATGTTTATTGTTTATTGTTTTCCCAACTGGGAGCTGCTGAGTAGCATCTCAAAAGCTCAAATAATACCTGATTTGCAACTCCAAATCCCAGAGGAGTTGAAAAGGAGGCTTCGTGGATGTAGAGCAGCTAGATGGAGGAAGTTCAAACCGTTTCTTCCATCAGCCATAAAGGTCAAGGGTCATATCCCTAACTCTAACGTCTCTCTGCCCCGACTTTCTGTCCATGAGGCCAGACAGAGATTTAACAAGGAGCGGCAAAAGCAAATGACGTGGATTAGCAGCTCTTGCCAACATCTAATGATGTAATTCATGTTGCTGTGGAATGTTGTTTGTGCTGCCTGGAGACTGTTAGCATGTCATAACAGTCATGAAAGTAGTTTCATGACTGTAGTTTCATAAGGCTACAGTCATGAAACTTCCTTTTTTCTTTTTTTTACCTTTTATAGTTAAAATTATAGATGTTATGGCTGCTCTCACAGTCCTAATATAGTGTATTGTTTAAAGTTATGAGCTCTAAGAGAGTTTTGAATGCCACTGGTCAGGTAGGAAATCTCTTCTTCCAGTCAGTTTCATGTTTGTTCTCTGCATATTCTTATGCGTGTGTTTTCATTTGCTCTTGAAGTTTTGGTTTCTCTGATTCTCGTGTCGTCTGTTGCCCTTGTTCCTGTATTGCATTTCAACACCTGCCCTGCATTCCCTATCAGCTGCCCCCGTGTCCATAAGTGTCAGTCCCCTTTCCCAGAATCTGAGCTCACTGGTTTTCATGGTGGTTTGTCGGTTTTGGGTTACCTTTGGACTTCTCGAGCTTTTTGTTCAGTTGCTCAAGGCGATTGAATGTTGAGTGTAAGCCGTGTGGAAAGTGTACCGCAACTTATGACATTGATTCTACCACCTCCACTTAGTTTTATTACAACAAATGTTGTTGTTATCATTTAGGACTTTTTTATTTTTAGGGGTGAACATTTTAGTGTGGCTCTCTTACAAACAAACAAAAAAGAAAATCCATTATATTGTTGAAATATTTTCAATCATTCATTGCCATGCTTTTGTCACTTGCTCCTCATTAAGTTGATTTTTAGAAAAAAAAAAAAAAAAGAACAAAAACTACACCCAAAGGTAATAACATTCACCTTTGGGGATTTTTAACAAACTTGAAGTTACAAACATCAGGGCTGTGAGTCCCTCCCATCTATTTTCTAAGAAGCCACAGGAAACGGTGACATACTGTCATACTGTTGTCATCCACAGCAACAATGACAAATGTGTGTTTGGCAATAACTTAGAGACTTCCTCGTTCACGGAGCGCCGGAGATTGTTAGGTCAGCTCTGCTCTTATAGCTGCTCTGGAAAACCCGACATAGACACTGATTACTGACCCGCGAAGAGCAATGATTGTCTCTTGTCAGTCAGCAAACGGCTGCCTTGCCAGGATAGAGATAGTAACAGAACATGTGAGAGCGGCTCGTTTGAGGCTTAGAAAGCTGAATGGTCAGATATGCATTCAAGAACGTGACACCAGGTTATTTTCGGCCTGACTTGGTTTTAAAAATTCTCATGTATAAGAAACCTTAAGCGCATTTTTTTTGGTATTGAATAAAAGCTAAGTTTATTATTCCGGTCGTTCACTGAGATCATAGAAACTTGGCTTCCAAAGAAATTGGTGCAGTTTCCAACAGAGGGCGCCCCATCATGCTGGACTGGGAATACTCTAATAACACTTATTTTTTATTTTTTTATGTAGCATATCTAAAATGTTTCAAAGAAAATGAGGTTTGGGAAACTGAATGCTACTTACAACAGAATTGGTGTGTGTTTGCAAAGCAGCCAATCCTGGAGCGCCTTTTCATTTCCTGGTCGCTAGCTGGCTCGGCTCTACCCCCAAGAGCGGATATGAAGAAGACCATGGATGTTAGCATCTGTGCTAATGTCAAGATGGTTTCTATATTTATTTATTTGGGTGTTTATTTGACAGGCACAAATACAAAAACATAGCAGAAAACAACGCGATGCCTGTATCATGCGCATGCAGCCATAGCTAATTCTCAACACTCGTCCCTAGAAAGACCTTTAACAGTTGGTTAAAATGAAAAGTCTAGATGAACAGTAAGTACAACAAAATGATGAAAAAAGAGATATAAACCAATGTGCTTAAAACTACTGAGTCAAAACAATTACAATATTTAACAGCGAGTACAGTTGTGGCTCATCTTTAGTCAGATCTTAAGCCTTGAGATAAATGTTTTAATGCCAGTTGGTATTAAAGTGAAGCAGTAATGAGCTCCAAAGCTTACAGCACCTAATAGTCTGTCTAAAGGCTGTCCTGGTATTTTACAGTCATGACTGTGATGCTTCTGGTGACTCTATTGCTGTTCTGTCTCTGTGTGTGTAATGGCTCGGCTGATATGTGATTGATGCATTTATGAAACAGATTAAGAAAGCAAAAACTAATAAAGCTGTCAAAACTCATTAGATTATGTTTCTGAATAACGGCGCAGTGATGATAGCGGCATGGCTTTTTTTTTACTCCACAGCCAGATTGTATAAAGAACCAATCCGTCTGGTTACGTTCAGAGAGGCCTGTGGTAGAAAAAAAAATGTAGTATTGTTTTTGAGATTGTCTTTTTATGTTTATCAAATTTAGGTTGAGGATCGAGCACCAAACCAGGGTATTTTAATTCCGTAATATTATTTTTTTTGTAAATGAAAATTAAATTTTATTTTAAATCACATTTTCTTATTGGAAAACACATGTTTTTGAAAGATTCACAACGGGTTCATTTTGGATGAGCCACTGCTGGATGTCAAACGGATGTCCGCTGTACGTATTAATGCATACAAAGGATTTTTGGTGTGTGAATGATTAAAATAGGCCGTGTTAAGAGCTTTCCGTAATGGGTTTTTACTTTAACACTCACAGTTTTCAACATCAATATCTGACAACCATGTCATCAGCTGTTGCTGTGAAGAATGATGGAAGAGCACAAACGCTTCAAAGTGATAAGTAAAGCTGCGGGAACTGGACGAACCGTGCAAGTTGTACAGTTCATTAAACGAACATGTTCTCAAGGACACAATGAAGTATCCCTGTTTCCTTTAAGATGGACCTCAGGGTATAGTTTGTGCCTGAAAAACAGAGGGTATAAGGATGAAAGTGTTTGTGCGTTTTTCAGAGGGCTGGATGAAAAATGGTGTGTGGGGGATTGGGCGGGGGCTCCAGTGTTTCTGATGCAGCCAGAATCCACTCAGTAGCATCACTCTAATTATCTTCTCAATGAAAAAGTAAGAAGAAGAAAAAAAAAAGATGAAGTGTTTGAAAAATATAATGACACTCTACAGCTGATCCGGAAGAGCACTGGCGCCATCTGCTGGAGAAAAGTTTCTACATGAAATAAATTTTGTTCAAACTCAAACTGCTGGAATCGGATGAGACAAAACTGCCTCTGTTTATTTTTGTATTGATCAACTCGTATTTATAAGTTTCTCTCACCCCTATGGAGCATTTTAATGCATCTTTTAACCAATATATTTATATATATTTTTTAGTTTAGATCTCAAAGCAGGTCAATATCGGCTGCCGAAACTTTAACAGCAACACATAAATATGTTTAGTACAAAATAAATCTCTCTAAATCTAATGCTCAGCCGATTATTTTTCTTGATTCAATTTTCAAAGGCGATATGCAAACTGTTCGCAGCAGCAAAGCTTTGCAAAACTATTGAGTTGTAAATCCAGAGAACAGCTCTGTAACTTTCCAACGTTGAACTCATCAATACAGTCTGCTGCTTTGAAAATACTAATTTTAGTGGATTTGAAAAAAAAAATCAGTCATCATTTGTTTTACACTTCAAACAAAGAATGTGGCTCAACCAGAGTGCAAATGCAACAAAATTAGGATATAATAAACAACAGAAATATATTTAAGGTCTGGAAATATCGGTGATTTATAATACAGTCAGCTTACAGATGTATGTAATAATTGCATAATTGTTGTATTGTAAATCCAAGTACTGAACAGTAAAAAAAGAGAGAGAGAGAGAGATTTTGGATGGCGATAACTGAAATGACATTTCTCCAAAAATAGGATGGACAGGAAATCATGTAAGCTGCGTTTCCATTCGCCATAAAACTGTACAAATTAAATTACGAAAATAAATTCGCTTTTAAGTGAACACTTTCATTTAAAGAAAGAAAAAAAAATCACGTTTTTCGATACAAATAAAACTTCTGCGCTAGAATGAGGCGGTTTTTCAGCCATATCAACGCAGGTGTATTTTGCAAAACACTTTTCGCATCACAGGAGTCACGTGATCAACAGTCGGACGTTACTACTGACGAAAAGGACAAAATGACAGGAAGTAGTTGGAGAATGATGGTTTGTTTTTTAGTTGTTTTTTCCGGCTCTACCGGAGCTCTCACAGCTATGCACAGTTCATAAAAATTTGTGTATCACTCGAAAGTATTGAATAACCTCTTCTGTAAAATTACGGACTGCAATTTCCCCAAAGTGCCTCCTACGTAGCCGCTCCCGAGGGTTAGGGTTAGGGGCTTGTAGTTCCAACGCCTGAATAAGACGCCGACAAGACAAGATTTGCCACATTTGCAATGGAAACACAGCTATAGAGGAGTTCACGGTAAAGTTGCTGAGCTGAAGCTGTTCAAAGAGGAATTATGTATCCTCTCTGGCCTTCAGGCAACGGCTTCAGAACCTTCCAGAAGGACAGCTTTACTAAAGATAAGCTTCACTTCAGGCCGTTTGATCCCCGCGACCTGACATTGGAGAAAACCGGAGGGACATCCGGAAGGACGGACCAGAGTAAGGTTTTCATAATGTTTTTTTCTTTTTAACTAATACATCATTAGCAATGATGCTATTTTATATAAAAAATGTTAGTATGGTAAACTTAAATATTTCGTCTCTATGGCTTAGGCTATTTCACAAGCAGTTATGTTTTTGACTACATTATGATACATTGATGCTTGGACTCTTGCTTTCATCTATGTCTGTGTTTTGATAATTGCCTAATCATTTATTTTCTTATGTTTGCCTTCCTAATTTATCCCTCACTGAAAAAATTAAACAGGTGATTCAACTTTTAAAAAATTAGTCAATTTGTTATAAGTGACCAAAGTAAGTTTATCCAACTTAATTTAGATAAAATTAATAAACGTAATTATTTAAGTTCATTAAGTTGTCATCTCAAACAAACGTAAATAAATTACGTTTGACAAACTTAATTCGATTACATGTAACAAATTAACTTATTCATTTAAAGTTGGAGCTCCATTCTCTTTTTTTCAATGCTTGCCTCTCATTTTTTATGTTTTAGATTTGTTTCTTTAGATTCGTGTTTCTTTCTATTTAAGGTTTTATGAGGTTCAGGTTTCTTTTTCCGTTTTCGTTCTCATTACTTTGCTTGTTTTTAACCTCATCTCTCCAATCTGCATCCCTACCCAGCTGTTAATCATTACTTCGTCTCCCCATACCTGCTCCCTTTTCCCAGCTGTATCCACTTACCTGTCATTAGCTCTTCTGGTTCCTTTATTGTTTCCGCTCCCTTTCCGATGTTCTCCACCGACTCCTTCCCTTGAACCTCTGGTTGCATTTTTCTATTCTGTTTCCCCACAGTATCCATCATTTTGTATGTTTTTTTTTTTTCATCGTTTTAAGTAAAACTATTAAATCTATGTCCATTTCATCTTCCTGTCCAAGACTGTAATGAGGTGGTGCATTACAGTAGTCTAGTTTAACCTTGGCAGAAACAGTTTGTTAGAAAAAAAAAAATCTCAGAACAGCATTCATCTGGTTTTCTTACCTGAAGGAGCTACGGAGGCAGATTCCTAACAGAGCTGCTGTAAGGAGCCAGGATCAACAGCAATATTCCATTTCAATATTAAAAGTTCAACTTTAGCCAAGTTTTATATTCCACTTAGACACTAAGATACTGACTCCATTATGACCCAAAATTCAATTTGCAATACGATAAAAATGAGCCGACCTCCAGGAAATTATAAAAGGATCAACGATGGATGACTTTGTGTTTTTGTGTTTATAATGAAAAGCATTTTGAGATGCCTTGCTGCTGAAATGTGCTATACAAATAAAATGTTATTGATTTGATAGTTTTAGTTTTTTCATACTTTAGTTCATTTTTAGGTGCACAATTAAAAAAAGGTCAAAGTACTGTAGTCTGAAGAATCCATTTCCAAACTATGTATTCATTTATTGCTGAAAATCCAACTGACTCCAGCGTACTCAACAACTTTTGCTGTCGGCATTTTGCGGACGAGTGAAAATGCCGCCAGGAGGATTAAGGAATGCCGTAATTTGCCGACAGCTCATGTAAACTATTTGTATTGAGGGAAATGAAAGTTAGGAAAAAAGTTAATAAATTCATAAGTTATAGTTTTTCCCCATTAATTACCATTTTTATTTATTTTAATTAACAAAAAATGTTTTCTCAATTTGAGATTTTGTTATTTTATTTGTTTT